AGGAGTCAGTCAAAGCTGCTGCCGCCAAGACTACTTCCCGAGGGCAAGGAGAAAAATTACCTTTAAGGGGTTTGCAAGTAGGGAGTTCTTACAAGTTATATCAGCAACATTCTTAGTCATACTAGGCAGATGCAATGGGGTTTACATATAACTTCCAAGTGAAGAAAGCAGGATCCTAATACAAAGCTGTGGGGAAGGAAGCCAAGTAAAGGAAACAGGATTCTAATGCAAAAGCTGCTGGGCAAGCTAAGCAAAGAAAGCAGGATTCTGAGGCAAAGCTGCTTGAGGTAGTGGAATTTTCCACAGCCTGGGGAATCTGTCTTATAAACAGTTAAGCACTCAGCTGCTAACCAAAAGGTTGGCAGTTCTAACCCACCCAGCAGCTCTGTGGGAGAAAGACCTGACAATCTGCTCCCGTAAAGACTACAGCCAAGAAAACACTCTGGGGCAGTTCTTCTCTGCCACATAATGTTGCTATGAGTAAAAATTGACTCGATGGCACCTAACAACAACTCGAGGGTACCTAACAACCAATCATGATGTCCTTTTCTAGCGATTGGTCTTTCCTGATGACACCTCCAAAATAAGTGAGTCAAAGTCTCGTCATTCTTACTTCTAAGGATCATTCTGGTTGTATTTCTTCTAAGATTGATTTGTTCATTCAGAACAGTATAGAATCATAACGGGACTTGCTGGCACCATCCCGAAACTGTACAATGAGAGAGTAGGACTGTATAGAGGGAGCAGGACTGGATAGAAATCTCTGCAGTCTGCATTATTCTTTGAAGACCTTATGTGTTATGGGATCAGTCCTGTCAGCCAGCTTTCTCTCCTGAAATCTGGTTTCCCTCTGAGCTTCCTAATTGGAGCCTTGGGCCTAGGGCACAAGCATGTCTAACATACTGACATCTTGACCTTTTCTTTGTTCAACTCATCTCTCAGATGATTTGTGTCCATTTATTTGGATTTGAGTCTGACCTGCTGGTTGGTGAGCCCTGTGAGTTTATTCTTCATATCCTGTCCCATGCTGGGTTTCCTTTAAAAGCTTTGTGGAAAATGAATGGCATTGCTTAATCTAGTATTTTCAGGGATATTTTTTCCAGATAAGGAAGGATATCAACACATTCTTAAACATCTCATGAAATTGCGTGGCAAAATATCACTTGTTTCTTTAGGACAGAATCATAAGAGTTATTATGAAAGGTAAAGTAAATATTGTTGCCAGAACTGGAAGGAAAGAGAGAGAGAAATGTCATTTAACAACAGTATTCCCTATCACCACCACCACCACCATCCCACACTCATAGTGGATTGAGTCTGTTGTTAAAAACAGTCATAAAATATACTGAATCTGAAGTCCTAAAAATCCTCATTATATCTTTCTCTAGATAATTATGGTTTTGTTTTGTAAAATACCTTGATGTTTGTATCTTACAGAAACATTGAAGAATAATGGAAGACTTCATTTCTGTTCCCTTTTCTTCTACCCAACTTGTGTGACCTTGGGCAAATCCATTTTCTTATGTTGTTATTTGGTGCTGTTGAGTCAATTCCGACTCATAGCAACCCTATGCACAACAGAACGAAACACTGCCTAGTCTTGTGCCATCCTCACAATTGTTGCTGTGTTTGAGCCCATTGTTGCAGCCACTGTGTCAATCCATCTCATTGAGAGTCTTCCTCTCTTTCGTTGACCCTCTGCTTTACCAAGCATGATGTCCTTCTCCAGGGACTGGTTCCTCCTGATAACGTCCAAAGTGCGTAAGATGAAATCTCTCCATCCTCCCTTCTAAGGAGCATACTAGCTGTACTTCTTCCAAGACAGATTTGTTCATTCTTTTGACAGTCCATGGTATATTCAGTATTCTCTGCCAACACCATAATTCAAATGCATCAGTTCTTCTTCAGTCTTCTTTACTTATTGTCCAGCTTTCACATGCATGTGAGGTGATTGAAAATACCATGGTTTGGGGTCAGGCACACCTTCGTCCTCAAAGTGACATCTTTGGTTTTTTTTAACACTTTATAAGAGATTTTTTGCAACAGATTTGCCCAATGCAGTACGTCATTTGATTTCTTGACTGCTACTTCCATGGGCATTGATTGTGGATCCAAGTAAAATGAAATCCTTGACAACTTCAGTACTGGTGGCATAGCTTCCAGCATCACAGCAACACACAAACCACCACAGTACAACAAACTGGCAGACGAGATTTTCTTTATAGGATCTGTCAAATGTACAGTGAAAACACAGTATTCACCTTACCACTCACTTTCTAGCCCAGCCAGACTGCAAAGCTCCATTTTTGCATTGCCTATCACACTTGTCTATCACTGCTAGATTGTGTGTTCCTGTGATGCTGAATAGATTTCAGCGAGCTTCCAGACTAAGATGGGCTAGCACGAAAGGCCTGGTAATCTACTTCTGAAAATCAGCCTGTCCTCTTAGCTCAAGTAGATACAAGAGACTAAACGGCCAGCTTCTGTCCAGAAGTGAGATGGGAAGGCAGAGAGGGTTAGGAGCTGGTTGTATCAGGGTGGAAAGGAGGAGTGTGCTGTCACAGTATGAGGAGAGTAATTAGAGTCACATAACAATGTATGTATACATTTTTGTATGGAAAAAAATAAAAATGAAAATCAGCTTGTGAATCACAGTGGTTCAGTCTGCAGCTGATCATGGGGATGGCACAGGACCAGGCAGAGTTTCATTCTGTTGTACATGTGGTTGCCACAAGTCAGGGCCCTATGGCAGCTAACACCATCAGGTAACAAGAACAATCTTATGCTGTGATAGACTCTAGGCAGAATAAGATGTTACTGCCCTCTGCTGTTCCTGAGAACACACCTGTCCATCAGTGCAGTGGCCCTGCCGTCCTTACAGTGAAGGACACTGTACCGTACACTCTTACTTAAGAAGACGGCAGGAAATCATACAGAAAGGAGGTAGATTTTCTATTTGGCAAAATAATAATAGAAGTATTTGGGAATTATTTTCTTATGCACACATCAGATGCCATAGCCATTTATGACTATCTTACCACTAAAAGTGTTTATTCTATAATCACTTTACCCTATAAATTCTTACCTAGTACACAGACTGTGGGTTCTGACCCTTTGGGATATTGTCACTCTGTTTTGCTCCATATTTCTGTCTAGGAACATTTACAGTCCCACCTTTGTTCAAAAAATTTAGCGAAGTTTTTGCAGGTTCACTTCTAGTTTGTGAATAAATGGGAAGATAATGTCAATTGACATGTGCCAAGGAAAGTGAATGTGCAACATCAATGAGGAAAAGGCTGAAGGAGAAAGGCAGGGCTTCATTACACACTCATTCCTATAAAGCTCTGTCAAGTTTCGATAAGAGCTTTATAATTAGTAGTAACTTTTTGGTGGGTTGATAATTCTAAAAGTATTTTATGTGAGAATCTTATTGCATTTTTATGAGATGGTACTGCTTCTAACTGTACTCATGGAAAAGGCCATTGAAAATTATGCCTTTATCTTACTTAAATTTTGTGCCTTTAAAATCTCTTTCAGAATAGGCCTGTGCACTGCTGCTGAGGTAATTGTTAGTCCTCAAAGTCCTTAGGGGCAAAAAAAAATGCAATCCAAGTCCCATGTATCTTTGTGGAGAGTATAAAAGGAATTTGTGATACACTATGTGGCTTCTGCTTATGCACTCACAGAACCACACACATTTTGTTGGTGATTTCTCACAGGTGTAGCAGCTCTGTATTAAATGAGCAGACAGGCATTATGAAGACCATCAATGATCCTTCTACAGCTTCCCCTTGGGGAACTCCTGACTTTTGCTTCGTCGTCAGCCCCAGCCTATAGCCACCTAATAGGGAGAATTGTTCTGTGCTTGTAACAGATTACCTCAACAGTAGTGTATATATAGTCTCTTGAAAGAGACTTACATGTGGGATGCAGAAGTACACAGAGATTCTCACCGGCAAAATCACAGCCACCCCACCTCCATCGATGCCAGTGCTACATTTCATGGTATGCATCATGCCTCTGCCAGCTCTAGGTTTAGTCTGATCTAGACCAAGAAGGAAATTAGCATACATAAAGCATATGATTTTTGCCAGGTGTCTTAACACATCTGTTATGCATCCTTAAGAAGTGAACCAATTTTTGCCTTATAACTTCAGTTTCCTCTTCCTTAAATTAGGGATAATAATGTGCATCTTACAAGATTCTTAGTATTAAGTTATATTGTTGTTGGTTGCTGTTGAGTATTTGAAGTGCCTACCAAGTGTCTGTAGAGTTCATTTTTCTTCCCTTCCTTGTTAATCACTTCTTAGGTTTACTTTTACCCTGAACTCCAGCAGGAAGTCCTAAGAAGAAAGGAGGTGTGATTTGAGGTTACCTTCCCATGCCCAGATTTGGTTACCAGAAAGTGCCCTTGAAGCCGAGGACAGTTTTCTAGATAGTATGTGAGTCAGGCAGCAGCCTTGGTAGTAGGCAAGATTGAGCAGTAAGGAGGGTATAATTCCTCCTGAGTCTCAAATTCATGATATGCCCTCATTCTGTTTGTAAGGCCAAGCTGTGGACATTTCATTTAGTGCCCAAAAAATACACTCCAAAACCAAATAGAGGAAATTTTAAATCATCTGGAGTTTTATGTTTAGATTGTGATGGATTTTGTTATATATCCTAATATTAATAATAGCTACCAACTCTACAGCGCCTACTCTATGGCCAGTACAGTGCTAGGTACTTTCATATATTCTCTAATTCATATCACAGCTTTGATTTTTAGGTGTTGTTATGACCATTTTAATAAAGTAACTGATACCCTAAAGGATTTGATAGCAAGCTCAACGTTACCAGTTAAAAATGAGTAAGTGGCTAATTGCCAAGCCTATACTGCCATAAGATACTCTTTAGAGAAATCCGTTGATCGCATCTGTGGTTAACTACGGTCTCTGTGACCTTCTGAACTGCCATAACTCTGTCAGCTCCATGATGATGTATATTGTGTGTTTTCACAGAAACTTGCCCCTGGAGTCAGCCAGTTTGCATACACCTGTGTACAAGACCACTCCATTTGGACTAATCAGCAATTTTGGGAAACAACCTTTTACAATGCTGTACAGGAACAGGTTCGCTCCCTGTATCTCTCAACCAAGGAAGATAATCATGCTCCACTTCTGAAGCAAAAGGTAAGATAAGAGAAGGAAGATATTTGTATGGAGTTAGAATTTTGGTTTTAAGGAAAGCTCATGCAGGTATCCCCAGGTCAAAAGGAAATCCAGCCATTTCTTACCGGTGTATTTAGGGTTTACTTTAGGGAGCCCTGTGGTGAGCTTCTTTCTTCTGTTGATTTCTGTCATTATATTTTTCCACAATAATTTCTTAATATAGTTCTTCAGTGGTCAGATTATTTTATTGTATTTTAACAAATAGAAATTCGCTGGAAGCAACTATATAAGTTGAGCAGAAACAGCACACCTGAAATACCTAGGCATATATCTCTGTGCAATTAACTTCCTTGAATAAATGTCCAATTAAAGTTAATTGACTCTAAAATAAATGTAAAATTCAGTAGTTCTGCTCAAAAAATATGCCAGCAATAAAATCTAGGTCTTCTTTTACTAACATTCTGTATGTTCCGGTATTTTTTATCAGCATATAAACAAGAAAATTGTTTTTAATTTGAAAGAGTTTGAAATATTATGAAATTTTAAAACATCATTTACTGGCTGTCTGGTCTTAGGCAAGTCATGTTACCTCTTTGTGCTTTAGTTTCGTCACTGGCAAAATGACTAGATATGATTATTTTAAAATTTTAATGTCTAGTACATGTAAAGAGTAACTGACACATAGTAAATACTAAATGTTAGAAATTATCATCCTCATGCATTGAACTTAAAGTGGACTTGAAGACTGATTATCAATGTTGATTCACTTCAGAGTAGTTTTTATTTTCACATGCTGGGCTAATACATTGCTGCTGATTCTTTCCATTGTCCTGCATTTAAATTGGCCTTATATTATATGAGATAAATGAACCTAGATATCTAACAGAAACTTTCCAGTAGTATTCAAATATTTCTATGCTTCATGTAATTTTAAACATTACTGTACTGTTATTGAGTATCATAAGAAACAAAACCTTAATAACAAATAGCACTACCTAACATCTGATGTTCCAAACTATTATTGTTTACTGTTAGTGTGAATTGTTTGCTTAATATAATTTAAAACTCAATTTTTTTTCTTTTAAAACACTGGATATACTTGGTTAAGGGGTAACTTGTAACAGATGCAGAGACTGTTAGTTTGGGGTCATTGCTCCAGAAATAATTGGGATTGTGGTGTGCTTTTGATAGTTTTTTAAGCAGCTATAATACTGACATTAAGGAGCCTTGGTGATGCAATGGTTAAGCACTCGGCTGCTAACTGAAAGGTGAGAGATTCGAACCCACCAGTGGCTCCGTGGCAGAAAAGACCTGGTGATCGGCTCCTATAAAGATAACAGCCCAAGAAACCCTACGGGGCAGTTCTACTCCGTCCTATAGGATCGATATGAGTCGGAATCGACTCGACAGCGCAAAACACCAACAATGCTGACATTGGTATATCTCAAAAGCATTTGTAGAACAAACATGTTACTGCTTCTGTATCCTCCTTTCTAAGGAAGTCTGTCTCTAGCCCTAAGTTAAATACAAGTGAGTCCGTAGATGTACCAGCCCGTTGCAAGCTATGAAGGGCTATGCAAGTGTGGGTTACTTTATTGTTCAACTCTTCAGCATACTAGGGCAACTCTCTTAAAATTTCCATCATCACCTACATATCTATGTGGACAATAATGCTTGACTCCCACATTTACAAAGAAAGCTAGCTGTGGTTTTTGTGACTTTAGTCATTCCATCTCCTTCTCCCAAAGAGCAGAAAAGAAACATCAGAATATTAGTAAATGCTACTGCATTCAGACCTGAGCATTTATAGGAACTTTAAATCAACATTTGTTGTAACTGGTAGCTTGAAAGGGATGGAGCCATAGAGATAATGGATACAGTCAAATGTTAGAAATGAGAAACAGATCCATCTGTGCTTTGTTACTGCTTCCATTGGTTTGTCAGGTGGTTCCACTTAAGGCCTGCTGGCTATAGAAAGAAGACTGGGTTTTGTTTTGTTGTTATGTTTGTTTATATGTTTTCATTTTTTGCGGATGTAAGTATTTAATAGAAGAATTATGAAAACATCTTCCATGTTTTTTAAGCTCATGTGAATTGCTGGATGTTCTCCTTTGGATTGTGTTGATTTGTTTTTTAGGACAAGCTTCCCGATGACCAATTTCAGGAAAAGACAGCAATGGACCTTGCAGCCGAGCAACTCCGCCTTTGGCCTACTCTGAGCAAATCAACTCAGCAGGAGCTGGTGCAGCGTGAGGAAAGCACTGTCTTCTGTCAGGCCATTCACTTTGCAAACCTCATGGTCAACCTGCTGGTTCCACTAGACACAAGTAAAAACAAGCTCCTAAGAACGTCGGCCCCAGGTGACTGGGAAAGTGGAAGCAACAGCATTGTCACAAACAGGTACTGAAATGTGGACACACACAGACCCACCTACTCTTCATGGGGCCAGTCTGAGCTTAGGAGAGGATATAAAGCATTTGGAGAAAATATTGCCCTACATATTTAAAAAATTACACATTTTTCCCCACCTTCAGACTTGCTCAGCTCTTTTCTGTTAAAAGACCTTCACCTCATCCTGCTGTTCTTAATCACCTTTCCCACACTCTCTTCTCTTTCATGGCCTATTTTTTAAAACGTCCCACCCACCACTGATCCAGCCTTCAGTCACCTTCTGCCATGGCACTTTAGAGAAGGTGTGCTGAAAAATTACAGGTGAGTTCCTTCCTGCCAGAATGATTGTTTCTCAGCCCTCCTTTTTCTCAGCTTGTCTGTTGCATTTGCCTGTAATCTTGTCCTCAACCATACCTTACTGTCAACCCTCCAGTGACATCCCGTACCACTGAAAATAAGACCCAAAATCTTCACCATGGTCTACAAAGCCTAACAGTCTCTGGCTACTGATCTGACCTTATTTCTGGTCACTCTTCTGTCAGTCAGACTGATCTCTCTGCTAATGCTCAAACACTCCACTGCCTCAGAGCCTTTGTACTTGCTGTTCCTTCAGTCTGGAATACTCTTTTCCTAAATTGTCGTAAGAATCAATTCTTCACTACATTTAGGTCTCTGCTCAAATGCCACCTAGTTAGAACGGGCTTCCTACCATCCCTGACTTAAGTAGCACTTCCATCCCCTACCTTGGTATTATTTCTCTTTCATGACATTTTCCATTTTGATCTATTTGCTTATTCTAGGTCTCCTTTTTCTGTTTAGTTCACTGCTGTATGCCCAGCACCTTTGTACGTAGTAGGCACTCAGTAAATATTTGGTTAAACAAGTAATTAAATGAATGAGTAAATGAACTGATCACGCCCACAACAGCGAAATTCTGTCCTTTTAGGTTTTCAGTGATGTTGTAACATTCTGGTAGTTCTTCTCAGGCTCTTTCAGGCAGCTCCTCTTCTCTTCCCATTCTCAATCACTCTGCCCTGCTCTTCATGCTCTCATAGAGAATTCATTTACAAGCTTACATCTGTGGCCCCGACCTCTCAATTTCCCTCTCCCAGGCACTTCATTTTTGTCGCAACACCTCAGAGCTTTCTGGTCTTTCAGGCTAGACAACTTGGAGTCAGTATTTTGCACCATATAGTCCACTGCACAGATCTCTCATTTCTTCCTGGTCAAGGTTTCTGGTTCCTCCTTTGGTTATTTTATGTGGACAGTATAGCCCAGGCCCTCATCCTTCAAACCAGATTATATGAATCTCCCAGCTGTTTTTTTTAATTCCTCTCCTTTCTCTAGTTTCTTCTGCCCTTACTGCCGCAAGAATCTTCCTGAAATGATGTTTCTGTCACATTTCTCTGCTGCTCACAAGACCCTGTTTCATCATTTCCTTGATTCTTAAAATATTGTATAGTCTATCCCCACTTTCCCTCCCCAGCCTGTCTCCCACTGCCAGTCAAGTTGATCTTCACTATGACCATCAATAACTGTATTTTCATTTCTTTTTGAAGTTGTCATTATAGATGATCCTGCTCTCTCAAAGTCTACATTATTAGTAAGTAGCTAAGGCACCTAAATTCTGTAAGGTTTAGGGATGATATGATGGCCAAATTTGCTGCTTAGCTTTACTTTAACACTGATTCAGGTCATGTGGTTGGATTTGGAGTAAAGAGAACTGAGTAGGTTAGAACAGGCAAAGGAGTCTTTTTCATGATTAGCAGTCTAACAGAAAGCTTAAGAGCCAGGAGTATTTGTTGAATAGTAGGAGCTGAATAAGTAATAAGGGCAGCAATTTGCTTACTTCTCCTGTATGATTTTATCACTTACAGAATAATGATGGCTTCATAGTGGCCAAAAGGGTTGTGATTCACTCAGAGAGAGAAGTAAATATTGGCCAAGAAGAGGGTTCATAGGATACTTTGGTCCTTTCATTTGAAAGAATATGCTATTTGCTGAAAAAGTTCTTTTACTTTGCCTACCAGGGAATTTTTTCCCACCTGCCAAAGATAGCCATATTATTTTGTGTAGCTCTGTATGGTAATTAATTTGGGAGTACAAGTTTTTTTGGAAGGTTTAGATATCAGATAATTAATTAGCGTCCCCTTTGACTTTCTTTTCTATGGTTCCTGAGTTCCTTTCAGGAGCATGACAGAGGTATTCCTTGCAAAAACAAATCAGGGTCCAAAGGACAGTTCCGAACAGTAGCTTCCAAATATGGGCAAATATGGCATCATGTTTCACCACTATCAATTATATAGCAGCCGTGGAATTAAGTGAGCCCCCTGCTTGAGTATACATCTCTTTGTGCAAGTTTAAATTGCTATGTAAATTAACTGTGATATAGTGGTCATTTGTTGCATTTACATGATGACTATGATTTCTTTCCTTGACTTTCTTAGTATTGCAGGAAGTGTAGCTGAGAGCTATGATACAGAGAGTGGATTTGAAGATTCAGAGAATAATGACATTGCCAATTCTGTTGTGCGTTTCATTACCCGATTTATTGACAAGGTTTGTACAGAGAGTGGAGTTACACAGGATCACATCAAGAGCCTTCATTGCATGATACCAGGTAATCACTTTGTAGATATTAGAGACTCAAAATATTGGAGATAATTGAGTAAGAACTTTACTCGTGGGTCTCCTTTTTCCAGCGTAAGACCTGTTATACTTGTCTTCTATGTAGTTTAGCCATGCTATTTATTTATGTTTTGATTAGTTTTTAATTATGAATTATTTACAATTTTTTTTATTCTATTTGTGTTGTGGTTTTTCATTTTAAATGCTCTGATTCATCCTAGGAATTGTAGCTATGCACATTGAAACTCTAGAAGCAGTGCATCGAGAGAGCAGAAGACTTCCACCAATACAGAAGGTAATTATCCCAGACAACATGCTTTCAAGGGATAGCATCTCTTCTTAAAAACAGCAACAATAGACTGTTGCACCCCAGAAAATACCTTCCCTTACCTTTTTTTGGAGAGCAGCTGTAGTTTAAATGATACTTTAAAATTTCAGAGGAGTTTGTCATGTAGATCCTTATAAAAAGGATAATAAACAGGAACAGTGGATTCAACAAAGGAGCAATAATAACCTCTGTGCAGGGTATAAATTATGCACAGTTCTAACTTCCAAACTCGACCCAAGATTTTATGCCCTGCCTACTTCCACAAAAGGATTTAAGGCACTTAAAACACCAGGTTCCTGAATCTGGTTGTACATCACAAGTAGCTTCGAAGTATAGTAAAAATTCAGAGTCCTAAACCCCACCCCAGCCTCCTGAATTGGAATACCCTGGGACATGGCCTGGAAATCTGTATTTTAACAAGCCTCTAAGATGATTATTGTGCAGCTAGCCTGCCACCAATCTGTGCCGTAGAGCTCAGGACCTCTCACCTATATAACTATGAAAAATAAATTCAAAGGAGAGATCAGAAGTCAGATAGGTAGGAAAGATAGTTCTGTGAGAAATCTGCGATACAATGATCATTATACTTTGGCCTTACATTTAGTTCTGAGCTTCTAAGAGCCAACAAAAAGAGTAATGCTGAATTATGCTTCCTATTGCTTAGTAAAAAATAAGCATATTAGATTTTCAGGAGAGAATTTTTTCCTAGCACTGAACTTTTCAGAAGAGTGTGCCATGTGTTTCCTCATATAAAGGATACTGAGTCAGGATTTCCCAAGATGTATAAATAGTTATTTATATACAATTTATTGTGTTTATTCTCAATAAATGCCTAGAAGCCCAGATCTTTTTAAAGACTCATCCATTTTTAAAGTATTTTTTCTTTCACTTTATGAAAGCTCTTTGTGTAAAAGTCATGTATTAAAGAAATACACATTGTAAAAAGTGAAAGTCCTCTATGGTCCTCCCTACCCCCACCCTCACCTCTACCCTTACCTAAGACATCACCGTCTTTAAGAGTTTGGTTCAGATTCTTACAGGTTTTTTTTCCCCCTTTTTCCAAAAATGGGATCATATTATACATAATGGTTTGCAACTTCTTTTATTTAACAATGTATTCTGGATGTCTTTCTATATTAACATGAATAGATCTGCCTCATTTTTTTAATGGTTACAACATGTTCTATTGAGTGGTTGTTTCAAAGACTTGAGTTATTTCCAGTGATTTTACTGTTAACGAGCAATGCTGCAAAGAACCTTTTCACACCTGGATGAGGAAACTTTCATTCCTCTGTCTTTCCAAATCTGTTTTGTCATTTTGGCAACCTGGAAATTCTGACTGAAGATTTATAGGTCTGGAACTGAAAAGATCACCTTGATTTAAGTGTTAGAATTCATATAGGAATTACGTTTGAAATATTTTCTCTGTCGTTAGCCCAAGATTCTTAGACCTGCTCTGCTGCCAGGAGAAGAAATTGTTTGTGAAGGTCTTCGAGTCCTGCTGGATCCTGATGGCAGAGAGGAGGCCACCGGAGGCCTGCTTGGAGGCCCTCAGCTCCTGCCAGCAGAAGGAGCCTTGTTCCTCACCACATACAGAATTCTGTTCAGAGGAACTCCCCATGATCAGCTAGGTATGGTTAGTAATATGCCGTCAGTACGTGGATATCTATGTGGTACATAAGGTTTTGATTTGGTCTGTGGGCAGCGATTTACAGATCATTTCAGATTCTAAATAAGCCTTTTACCAACAAGTACTTTTGGAATACTTTTATGTGTCAACAGCTAATGATAATTTGGATCACAGATTTTTACTTGAAGAACCAAGGGTATCTTCTAAACAGTAAATCAAGGATTCGTTAGCTGAAACGATCATAATATCATGAGGCAGAGTATTATGAACTAGGAATATTCACAATATCCAGCTGCTAAATGTGTTCCCTGCTGGCTTGCCCCAGCTTTCTAAGTCCTGCAGTTAACTGTAAAGCTAAGGTCTTCCAGAGGCATGATCCCTTTTGTGGAAGGATGTACAAAGTATCAAGGGTTGGGCAACAGTTTCTTAGCAGACAACTTCTACTCACGAAACCCCTCAACTTTTATTTCTTCCTATTTTCTATTACTATATTCAGCCTCCTATATTAGAAATAGCATGCCCTATCCAGAAGTAATCTTTATAATCCTTTTACAATCACTGCTGTTGTTAGTTGCCATCTCCAACTCATGGTGACCCTGTGTATAACAAAATGAAATGTTGCCCTTCCCTGCACTATCTTCATGATGTATTTTGAGTCCATTTTGTGGCCATTGTGTCAGTCCATCTCACTGAGGGTTTCCTTCACCTTTGCTGGCTCTCCCACTTTACTAAACATGATGTCCTTCCCTAGCAATCAGTCCCTCCTGAGGACACATCCAAAGTTAACGAGTCAAAGTCTTGTACCATAGGGTTTGCATTGACTAATTTTCAGAAGTTGATTGCCAGGCCTTTTTTCCTGGTCTGTCTTAGTCTAGAAGCTCCACAGAAACCTGTCTACCACTGGTAACCCTGCTGTTACTCGAAAACTAGTGGCATAACTTCCAACATCATAGCAGCACGCAAGCTACCACAATACAACAATCTGACAGACAGGTGATAGAAAACAATTACCGTAGTCTCTAAATAAAATATTCTGGTTGATGGGCATGGCAATATAAGGTTTTGGGCGAAACTATTGGACTTCAGGTCAAGACGCTCAAATTTGGATCCTGACACTGCTATCGAACAATCTTGATAGTTTGAATAAATCACCTAACCTTTCTGGACTTCAGTTTCCTCTTTTATAAAATTAGGAAATTGTACTTGATTCGTGATAATTCACTGACTCTCAACCTTGACTACATATTTTGAATTATCTGGAATGCTTTAAAAAGAAATAGCAATTTCTAGTCCCAACCCTCAAACAATTGAATTAGAATCTGGAGAGATAGGAATGGGAAACCCAGGTGTCTGTCTATTTTTAAAGTTCCACAGTTGATTGTGATGCCTACTGAGGATTGAGAACCACTAGGCTAGGTGGTCACTAAAGTGTCTTCCTGCTCTGAAATTATTCATTCAGTAAGATTTGATGAGTACGCACTATGTACATTGTGATGTTGCTGTTGTTAGTTGATGTTGAGTCCATTCCAACTCATGACAACCCCAGGTGTGCAGAGTAGAACTGCTCCATGGGGTTTTCAAGGCTGTGACCCTTCAGAGACAGATTGCCAAGCCTGTCTTCCAAAGTCCCTGCGGGTGGATTCAAACCACCAAACTTTCAGCTAGTTGTTTGCCCCACCCAGGAATCCGTGCATTGCGTTAGGCTGTGGATTTCAGATGTATAAAATGTATCGTCTTTAAAAGCTCATAGTTGCCTAATCCCTTGGTTGGATAGAATTTAAGGATCCCTGGTGGTGCAATGGTTAAAGCGCCAGCTGCCAACCAAACGCTCGGTGATTTAAACTCACAAGCCACTCAGTGAGAGAAAGATGTGGCAGTCTGCTTCCGAAGATTTACAGCCTTGGAAACCCTATGGGGCAGTTCTCCTCTGTCTCATAGGGTCTCTTTGAGTCGAAACGGACTCAAGAGCAGTGAGTTTGGTTCGGGTACCATATAATAAATAAAAAACTTATAAAATTCAATAAAGAAAAATCAATCCATAGGAATAGTTCAAAAAATACTTATTTTGAAAAAGAGTAAAAAACATTTCTTAGCCCTCTTCTCATATTACCATACATAAATTACATTTGTATTTGAAAGCAAGTATACTTTTAAAAGAAATTAAATATACAGTACTTATAATTTTTTATACAAGGACTTTTGTGAGATCAGTGGCCACAAACATACATTTGAGGCATATAAGTATGAGATACTTGAGTGGTCATTTAAATTGCTGTAATTTATTTCTCTTAAAGAAATGAAAGCTATACTTAGTGTGAAATCTTGCTTTTTATTTCTCTTTTTAAGTATCAAATTTAAAATTTCTCCTTTAATAACACTGAGAAATCTATTTTACATATATTGTACATGTTGTTTATTAAGTCCTAGAACTTAAATCCTACGTACATCCTGACTTTGCGTGGCCTCTGGGTATGGGTTTGACATAAGAGGATAGTCAGATTGTCCAGGTTAGAGATTTAGAGGTCAGAGGAATGAGGAATTCTGATAAGAAGTAGATAAATGTACGGGCTTTAAGTCAAATAAACCTGAGTTCAAATCTCACCCCTCTAGCTTACTAGCTGAGGGGCCTAGCTCATTGCTGCTCCTGTGCTTTTACTCATACTGCTGCCTGAAGTGCCCTTTCTTCTCCCATCTGCAAATCCAAATCATACAACCTCTGCAAAACTCACCGTCCCTCTCACCTTTCCCAGAAATCATTCTCTACCCATATATCATGCAGAGATCTTCTTTTCTGAAATATTCAAACCCTTGTAGTTTGTTCCCTCAAACCTAGGAGCTATTTATACATTATATTCTTCATGTGACTCTCCTCTCCTGTGAGGAACTATAAGCTCTCCAAGGAAGGTTCTGTGCATGCTACTTCTTTTCTAGACTCTTACCTTCATAACCTCAGGATATATATCAGTCACTGTCGTGGATTGAATTTTGTCCCCAAAAAATATGTTTCAACTTGGCTGGGCCATGATTCCCATTATTCTGTGATTGTCCACCATTTTGTCATCTGATGTGATTTTCCTATGTATTGTAAATCCTATCTCTATGATGTTAATGAGGTGGGATTAGCGGCAGTTAGGTAATGAAGCAGGACTCAATCTACAAAATTAGGTTGTGTTTTAAGCCAATTTCTTTTGAAATATAAAAGAGAGAAGCAAGTAGAGAAACAGGGGGACCTCATACCACCAAGAAAGAAGCACCAGGAGCATAGCGCGTCCTTTGGACCTGGGGTCCCTGCGCTGAGAAGCTCCTCAACCAGGGGAAGATTGATGACAAGGACATTCCCCCAGAGCCGACAGAGAGAGAAAGCCTTCCCCTGGAGCTGGCACCCTGAATTTGGACTTCTAGCCTCCTAGACTGTGAGAGAATAAATTTCTCTTTGTTAAAGCTCTCCACATGTGGTATTTCTCTTATAACAGCACTAGATGACTAAGATAAGCACCTTTTACCATATACATATTTTAAAACCTTTCCTCTTCTCCTTTATTCTTACATTAAATATCTTGGCTGTCTTCAGTATTTGAGAATACTTCTTTTTTCTGTATAAAACCTACCCTTCATGTAAGATTGCCTTAAACTGGGTGATCTTGTGTGGTACATAGTAGGTTGGGGAGGTAGAAAGAATACAGACAGGCAGGCTATGACAATTCTTTCACTCTGGGAAAGGATTGTGTCTCAGGAGGGAATTGCCATGCAATAAAATTAATGAATAATATTCTAGAATCATGCCATTTTGTCTCACTGCATTCCTGGGCATTGCCCTTTCCAGATGCCTTTCTCCATGAAAGATTGACAGAATGAGCAGTAGAGTGACCTGTAAAGTACTGTTGTTGAGTCAGTTTTGTCTTCCTCCAGTTGGTGAGCAGACAGTTGTGCGGAGCTTTCCCATTGCCTCCATCACCAAGGAGAAGAAGATCACAATGCAGAACCAGCTACAGCAGAATATGCAAGAAGGACTGCAGATCACATCAGCATCTTTTCAGGTACTTAAGAAAGGGAGCCATTCTATTGTTCAAAGGTTTTCAAAGATTTAATGTTGTGGCCATTTTCTTTGGTTAGAAGTTAGAAGAGGAGGGCCAAAGGATCTGGGAGCGTAATCTTCAGCTGAGTAAACTCATGAATAGTCTTGGGTTTAATCCCTCATTTCCTGAGCCCCTTAGCCAACTCAGAGTATCAACAAGCTATCAATATTTAGTTATCTTAGAAACTCAAACACACACAATTGGCTTTTGTTCTCTGTCAAGTCATACCTCAATTTGTGTTTGGTAAAGACCTTCGATAAAAAGCAACTCTTTTGGCATCTGTATCAGAAGGAAATGCCCTTTAGCTCTTCTGTGGAAGAGATAAAACTCAGAAAAGCATGTGTAGGGCTAAAGTACTACTGGTACTAACTGAATCCAAACCAACAAGTTGCCATCTAGTCGATTCTGAGTAGAACCATATGTCAGAGTGGAACTGTGCTCCATAGAGTTTTCAATGGCTGATTTTTCAGAAGTAGATCACCAGGCAGGCCTTTCTTCTGGGTTACCTCTGGGTAGACTCGAACCACCAACCTTGCAGTTAGCAGCAGAGCTTGTTAACCATTTACAACACTCAGGGACTCACTAACTGAATAACCCCTGATAAAGCAAGGTGTTTTCCAGGGGCATCTGAACATAATCAGAACTTGTGGAGTGACTTATGCAAACCAGACACTGGAAGAAGTAATCTTTTCTTAGTTTTTACTTTTTTAAAGAATTTTCATTCTGTGATATTTTGCTTTTCCTATTCTTAATGATTTGTCTCTGTCTTCTCTGATTTCCAAGGGCTCCAATTCTTGGCTCATTCCTTCCAGTCAAGGTCTCCCTAGTAACTCCCTGTGCTAATTGTGTGAAATGTAAGGTGCTGATCTTTAGGCTCTAGACCTCCCATCACCTCAGGGCAGTGACCCCTAGGGATTTCCTCACTGTTCCAGCTGCCAAAGAACTCTAAACTACAACATTGCATCACTGTACTGGTTAAGAGTCTAGTCAAGTTGAATTAGTTTCTTCTTAGATTTATAGTATCTCCAGGTAGAAAGAGACCTTATTAAGCTAAATTCCCCATCTGAAACCAACAGCTGAGAAATGAGAAGGGCATGTTTGCTGCTTCAGCCACTAAAAATTAATTTCCCCATCCTTTCTTAGAAGAGATAGTCTTAGAGAAACCTACCTTCAAGATACAAGATTCATTTTGTCAACCAACCATCTGTGGCAAGTAGACCTTTCCTGAGCCTCACTTTTTTTTATTTTTAAAATCAAAAAGATTGTGTTGAATAATTTCCGAGGTCCCTTAACTTCCAAAGTCTTCCATTTAGTATTGTTATTTTCTGTTATTTCAGTGATTTGGGCAAAAGTCATCTGGAAATCCTTGATGCTTCTGATGTATTTAATCTCTTTTGTTCTAGTTGATTAAAGTAGCTTTTGATGAAGAAGTGAGCCCAGAAGTAGTAGAGATCTTTAAGAAACAGCTGATGAAGTTCCGTTATCCTCAGTCCATTTTCAGTACTTTTGCTTTTGCTGCTGGACAAACTACCCCACAAATAATTTTACCCAAACAGAAGGAAAAGAACACATCCTTTCGGTAAGAGGAAAGAAAGTCCCTTAATTTCAGCCCTCCCTTGCTTGCCTGTCAGGGAAACGTGACCCATTCTTTGTATCAGTATGTAAGTGATTGCTCTTTTTGTTTGCCATTCTGTCAAGCCCAGTGGGCCAAGCTCATAAAGTTATGGAACAACAGCATTGATAAGTGTAACAAGTTTCAAAAACCATAAGAGGCTTTGACTACCATGCCCATTGCTCATGATGCGTATTCAGAATGTGAACTTCTGTTTTCCCTTTTTTTAAAATTGTACTTTAGATGAAGGTTTACAGAGCAAACCACTTTCTCATTAAACAATACACATGTTTTGTGACGTTGGTTGCCAACCCCGCAACATATCAACCCTCTCCCCTTCTGGACCTTGGGTTCTGCATTACCACCTTTCCTATCCCCTCCTGCCTTCTCATCTTTGTGCCTGGGCTGGTGTGCCCATTTAGTCTCGTATACGTGATTGAACTATGAAGCATGTTCCTCACGTGTGTTACTGTTTGTTTTATGAGCCTGTCTGATCTTTGGCTAAAGGGTAAACCTCAAGAGTGACTTCAGTACTGAGCTGAAAGGGTGTCTGGGAGCCATGCTCTCGGGATTTCTCCAGTCTCTGTCAGACCAGTAAGTCTGGTCTTTTTTTGTGAGTTAGAATTTTGTTCTACATTTTTCTCCAGCTCTGTCTGGGACCTTCTATTGTGATACCTGTCAGGGGAGTCAGTGGTGGTAGCCGGGCACCATCTAGTTGTGCTGGACTCAGTCTGGTGGAGGCTCTGGTAGTTGTGGTCCATTAGTCCTTTGGACTAATCTTTCCTTTGTGTCTTTGATTTTCTTCATTCACCCTTGCTCCAGACGGGGTGAGACCAGTGGAGTATCTTAGATGGCCGCTCGCCAGCTTTTAAAACCCCAGACGCCACTCAGCAAAGTAGGTTGTAGAACATTTTCTTTATAAACTATGTTATGCCAATTGAGCTAAATGTTCCCCGAGACCATGGTTCCCAGCCCTTGGCCCAGTAATTTGGCCACTCAGGGAGTTCGGATGTGCCTGTGGAGCTTCCATGACCTTGCCTTGGTCAAGTTGTACTGGCTTCCCCAGTATTGTGTACTGTCTTACCCTTCACCAAAGTTATCACTTATCTATTGTCTATTTAGTGTTTTTCCATCCTCAGCCCTCCCCTCCGTCGTAACTATTAAAGGTTGTTACTTTTGGTGTATAAACCTTTTCATGAGTTTTTATAGTAGTGGTCTCATACAGTATTGGTGCTGTGGTGATTTCACTCAGCATAATGCCCTCCAGATTCATCCACGTTGTGAGATGTTTTGCAGATTCATCATTGTTCTTTATTGCTGAGTAGTATTCCATTGTGTATATGTACTATAGTTTGTTTATCCATTCGTCTGTTGATGGACACTTAGGTTGTTTCCATCTTTTTGCTATTGTGGACCATGCCGTAGTGAACATGGGTGTGCCTGTATCTTTTAGTGTGATGGCTCTTATTTCTCTAGGATATATTCCCAGGAGTGGGATTGCTGGATCATATGGTATTTCTATTTCTAGCTTTCTAAGGAAGTACCATATCATTTTACAAAATGGTTGTACCATTTTGCATTCCCACCAGCAGTGCGTAAGAGTTCCAAGCTCCCTGCAGCCTCTCCAACATTTTTTCTGTTTTTTTGACTCGTGCCTGTAATGTCGGTGTGAAATGGTATCTCATTGCGGTTTTGATTTGCATTTCTCTAATGGTTAGTGATTGCGAGCATTTCCTCATGTGTCTGTTAGCTGCTTGAATGTCTTCTTTGGTGAAGTGTCTGTTCATTTCGTTTGCCCATTTTTTAACTGAATTATTTGTCTTTTTGTTGTAGAAGTGTTGGATTTTCCTACAGATTTTAGAGATTAGACCTTTGATGGATTTGTCATAGCCAACAATTTTTTTCCCAGTCTGTAGATTCTCTTTTTACTCTTTTGGTGAAGTCTTTTGATGAGCATAAGTGTTTAATTTTTAGAAGATCCCAGTTATCTAGCTTATCTTCTGGAGTTTGTGTATTGTTAGTTACAGTTTGTATCCTGTTAATGCCGTGTATTAGGGCCTCTTGCATTGATCCTATTAGATCTTTATAGATTTTGGTTTTATATTTAGGTCTTTGATCCATTTTGAATTAGTTTTTGTGTATGGTGTGAGGTATGGGCCCTGCTTCATTTTTTTGCAGATGGACATCCAGTTTTGCCTGCACCATTTGTTAAAAAGACTGTCTTTTCCTCATTTAATGGACTTTTGGGCCCTTGTCAAAGATCAGGTGACCGTAGGTGGATGAATTTACATCTGGGTTCTCAGTTCTGTTCCATTCGTCAATGTATCTGTGGTTGTACCGGTACCAGGCTATTTTGACTACCATACCTGTATTGTAGGTTCTGAGATCAGGTAGTGCAAGTCCTCTACTTCATTCTTCTTCTTCAGTAGTGCTTTACTTATCCGGGACCTCTTCCTTTTCCATATAAAGTTAATGATTAGTTTTTCCATCTCTTAAAATAATGTTTTTGGTATTTGGATCAGGATTGCATTGTATTTGTAGATTGCTTTGGGTAGAAGTGATATTTTCACAATGTTGTCTACCTGTCCATAAGCATGGTATGTTTCTCCATTTATGTAGATCTCTTTTGGTTTCTTGCAGTAGTGTTTTGTAGTTTTCTTTGTATAGGTCTTTTACATTCCTAGTTAGATTTATTCCTAAGTATTTTAGTTTTTTAGGGGCTATTACAAATGGTATTGTTTTCCTGATTTCCTTTTGGTCATTCTCTTTATTGGTGTATAGGAATCCAAATGATTTTTTGTATGTTTATTCTCATTTGATTCTAGGGATTTTTTGATTCCATCTTTGATTTCTTTTATTATCCAGTGGTTTTTAAGCAGGGTGTTAATTCAGTTTCCTTGTACTTAATTTTTTTCCTTGCTCTACCTGTTACTAATTTCTACTTTTATGGGGTTGTGATCAGAAAAGATACTTTGTATTATCTCAGTGTTTTGGATTTTGTTGAGGGTTGCTTTGTGGCCTAAGATGTGGTCTATCCTGGAAAACGTTCCATGTACATTGGAGAGGAATGTGTACTTTGCTGCTGTTAGGTTGAGTGTTCTATATATGTCTATGAGGTCAAGTTGGTTGACTGTGGGCTTTAGATTTTCTGTATCTTTGTTGAGTTCTTCTAGGTGTTCTGTCCTTTACCGAGAGTGGTGTGTTGAAGTCTCCTACTATTATTGTGGAGCTGTCAATTTCTCTTTTCAGTGCTGTTACAGTTTCTTTTATGTAATTTGGAGCCCTGCCATTGGGTGTGTAAATATTTATTATGGTTATGTCTTCATGGTGGCTTGTCCCTTTAATCATTATATAATGCCCTTCTTTGTCTTTTATGGTGGATTTTGTTTTAAAGTCTATTTTATCTGAGACTAATGTTGCCACTCCTGCTCTTTTTTGATAGCTGTTTGCTTGATATATTTTTTTCCAACCTTTGATTTTTAATATATTTATGTCTTTGTTTCTAAGGTGTGTCTCTTTTAGACAGCATATTGCTGGGTCATTTTTTTTTTAATCCTTTCTGTCACTCCTGTCTCTTTGTGGTCACATTTAAGCCATTTACATTCAGTGTGATTATTGATAGGTGTGAGTTTATTGCTGTCATTTTGTAGTGCTTTTTTTTGTGGTGCTGACGTTTTCTTCGTTCCTCTTCCTCTCCTGTGCTGCATTCCTTTTCTTTGTTTGTTTGATTGGTTTCTTTGTTTTTGTAGACTTTGTGTTTACTGAGACTTTCTGTTTTTCTTCTTTATTTTGATGAGTAGGTTTGTTAACTTTCTTTGTGGTTACCTTGAAATGTACTCCTATCTTCCTAAGTTTGAATCATTCTTCTAGTACTTGATACTGCCTTGAGTTCCTCTCCATTTGATAATTCTATACCTACACCATTTATTGCCTCTTTTATTGTTCTGACATTATTGTCATTTACAGATTGACCTCTCCGGTTCCCTGTTGTAAATCTTTTAGTTTTGTTTTATCCTTTAGAGTTCATTGCCTAGATTGGTATCAGGCTGATGCAGTCCAGCATATTCCATTCAGTGCTTTGTTGAGTTCTTTATCCCTTCATTTGACATTTAGGGTTCCAGGATTGATGTTTGTATCTGTTTTACTTAGTTTTTGGGGTCTTTGCTGTAGAGGGATGGCATAGTGCTTCTGTCTATAGCGCCATGTTGACTCCACCTCCCGTTTTCCCTTTTTCTGACTGTTGTGCAATCCCTTCTGCTTTCACGAAATATCCAGGCTCATGGACAGCTTGGTTTTGATCTAGAGATGGGATTCCTTATTTTCTTTTTTGATACGACTTCAAACTTACAGAAAAGTTACAATAGTAGAAAGAATTCCTGTGTATCTTTACCCAGATTAACCATTTGTTTATATTTTGTTCCATTTGGTTTATCATTCTCTCTCTTACACATTTTTTTCTTTCTCCAAAAATGCCTCTTAGTCCTTAAATACGTCAATGAATAGTTCTTAAAAACAAACACATTATCTTATATAACCACAGTACGTAATCAAAACCAGGAAACTTAATTGTTATGATACTTTTATCTAACACAGAGTTCATATTCAGTTTTTTTAATGAGCTCAATAATGTCCTTTATAGCTACTTTTTTCTTTTCTTTCTAGTTCAGGATCCAATTCAGGATTAGGCATTGCATTTAGTTCTCAAGTTTCTTTAGTAGGATCCTTATTTTATGATGAAGGTTTTTAGAAATTTATGTTGAAATTTTTAAATTTCAGTTGTTATAAAATAACAGTTGTTTTAAAATTATCTTTAATCAGTGATAAAATGTAGGGGCTAAAATTTCTGTTCATTTTCATTATTAATTAGTCACCTGGAATTTGGGTATCTGCAAGTAGAAATTACATATTAGGGGGAACTTTGCAGACTTTGGAGAAAGGACATTTTCTTTGTCTTTGTGGGGTAGACTGGGGATTATAGAGGATTTCAGATTCCAGACAGTGTGTCATTTCTCAGTTGCATAGCTGGCTGCCTGTACCACTGTTACCTGGTAAGCAGAGGAGAATACCCAGGTAGAGGCATGAACTGCCTCCTTGGTATTTACAACAGTGAGCCAAGCACCTTTCTTAGTACTATGGAGTCAAACAGGGGCCTAAGATATTTGTTATTTCTGCCCTCTGTGGAAGAAATAAAGCTTTGTATGGTGTTTTAAATTCAGAAACTGTCAGAAATACATACATATATACATATTACACATACATACACACACACACACACACACACACACATACAATCAAGCCTATTGCATCCAGCTGCAAGAGGGAATACAGCAGTTTTTAAAATTCAAAACATTCTAGAATTGCCTTGAGTATATGAATCAAAGGGCTTAACTCTAGCTGGGAAAATTTCTTCAGAAATCCCACTTGGTTTATTTTAAGTTATACCTGAAGAGATTTACAATAGGTTTAATTTTGGAAATACCAGTATTTTATGATTTCCAACAGTTATCTAAAACATCTTTCATAACTGTCAGGTTTACATTTCAGATGCCTAAAGACAGGATCTGGTAGACTATTTGACAATAAAAGAATAATCAAAAATAATCTTACTTGAAATCTTCACCACAGTCTCATTAGTGAGGAAATGGCTTCTTTGTTTAGTTCTCTAGGTTGTAAAAACTCTCTACCCAGATTTCCTATCAGCAAGAAAAAGTAAACTATTTGAGTAAATAAAGTACTTTTAGTCTAAGTGATTTGCATCCTAGTTTTCCTTTAATTAAAGCTGCTTCTCAAAAAAAAGACAAAACCAAACCCGTTGCCATGGAGTCGATTATGACTCATAGCAACCCTGTAGCAGAGAGTAGACCTGCCCCAGAGTTTCCAAGGAGCACTGGTGGATTCGAACTGGTGACCTTTTGGTTAGCAGCCATAGCTGGTAACCACTATGCCACCAGGGTTTCCAATTCTCAAAAGGATGCTAGATTTCCAATTTCTTAGTTTTCTCCTCTCAGAAAGGGAAATAATATTAAACAATATTATTCTTTTCCATACCTCAGATTTTTAGCTAATTAGAGGCAAGACAACACATATACACACTTGAAACATTTAAGAAAAAATAAAGGCATTGCCAACTATAATTGCCATGTGATCTCAAAGGAAGGTCTGTGTGCTAGTGGAAAAGAGTTTGAATCAGTTGGAAAGGGGGCAGGCCAGCTTTCCATGCAGAAGCACTTCCACAGCAAGAATTGTGGGAATTGTGGTGGAGCCATGTGACATGGATAACCTGGGTGGAGTCAGACATGCTTGACCAAAAAGCCAAACTGAGGTGTTTAGATTTGGGATGATAAGTAGTCTGTGCTCCACTCTAGATTCTTGTACTTTTTTGCCCAAAGCAGTGTCTTAGTGTCAGTGGTGTTTTATAGAAGATTAGTTTGGTAGGCCTATAAAAATAGATCTGATGAAGGAGAGACTTCATGAAGGTCTAGACAATTCTAGTTGCTGCGGAAATGAAGAAGAAATGAGCTATGTAGGCATCAAAAAGTATAAATTGTACCTTCATATTAAATTGACATTCTCTTTGTTTTTTGGTTTTTTGTTTGTTTGTTTATTTGTTTTCGGTTTTTTCGTTTTGTTTATTTACTTGTAGCACCTTCTCAAAAACAATTGTGAAAGGTGCCAAACGGGCAGGGAAAATGACAATTGGGCGGCAGTATTTATTAAAGAGGAGGACAGGGACAATTGTAGAAGAGAGAGTGAATCATTCTGGATGGAATGAAGAAGATGACATATCTGGTATGTTAAGAACCTTTTTTTCCTCATTATTCAATTTTATTCTTTCTTCTTATAGGAATAAGAGACTGAAACTTGTAAGGATGAAAATTGACACAAAAACCTGTATCTCATAAGAAAATTTGAGACACCAGCTTCTTGGAACTGGAAAGAAAAAATTATTTTCCCAATATTCCATTTCTCACATAAGATTTTGTTAAATTTTACTTCTTCACTAAATCCATAGAGCCATTTGACTATTTTTTGTGGGTCTCATTAAAGGGAGAAAGAAGGAAACCCCACTGCATAAGAAATATAGGGTAGTCCTCTGTACCTTATTCTTATGGAATTGGAATAAGGATATTGAATACTCTTACACTGAAGATTTTGGGTTTTTAGTAAGAACATTGTGGGTGCTTTTAATCAAGATGAGGGACCTAAAATGAAGGAGTTCTTAGGTGATACAAAAAAAAATCCACTAAATATTTAAAAGAACAGAGTTTGAGAAGCTGAGATGCCTCTCAGTTGGGAAAACAGAGGCTGAAAGCAACAGCAAAATGTCTTATTTAATGATTGTTTCTTATTTTTAACCCAGTAGCTAATGTGGTTGTGGAATGAATACTAGGGAGAATCAGATCTAATATGAGGCAGAATGAATGCTGTTGCACCCTTTTTCTTCTCAGGATCTTGGAATCAATCACCAATGATTTTACAGCTACTATTAATAATAACAAGAAAACATTTTTAAAAAAAGAAACCTCATTGTTATAGATATCACTGGCTAAAAGGCCTCCATTTCTGTTAACTGGAATAAAGGACACATGTTGTTTTATGTATATGCACGCATGCCTGTGTGAATGCATGTACTTAGAAGCTTGCCTCTGGGGGCAATGAAAATACCCACCATTTTATTATTGAAATGACTACTTGTTGGAGCCCTGGTCACCTGACAGACATATGGAAAATCCAAAAAAATCACTGCTTCCCACCATTGTTGACTCTTCTAATTTGAAGTTTTTGTGATTTCATGGACCAACAACTATCATTCTATGATAGTTATTCCACAAAAAGACCAAACTATACAATTTTCTTTGCTCCTCTGAAAATAACACAAAACTGATAACCTGATTGCATTGCGATATGAAGTTCACAGATATAAATACGAAGTCTTGTATTTATAGGAATAAACATAGTTTTAGTCTTTTTTTGTTTAATTGTACTTTAGATGAAGGTTTACAGAACAAACTAACTTCTCATTAAACAGCTAGTACACATATTGTTTTGTGACATTGGTTACCAACCCCACGACATGTCAACACTTTCCCTTCTCAACCTTGGGTTCCTTATTACCAACTTGCCTGTCCGCTCCTGCCTTCTGGTCCTTGCCCCTGGGCTGGTGTCCCCCCTTCAGTCTTGTTTTGTTTTATGGGCCTGTGTAATCTTTGGCTGAAGGGTGAACTTCAGGAGTGACTTCGTTACTGAGCTAAAAGCGTGTCCGGGGGCCATACTCTCAGGGTAGTCTTTTTTTTTTTGATGGAAGATAGCCATATCTTTCCCTTCACATTAGTACTTTGAGCACATTTCCAAAGACTATGAAAACTTGATTTGACTTCTCTCACTTTAAAAATAAATATAAAAGCAAATTAGGACAGTTTTAACATGGAATTTTCTTTTCGTTGGAACATGCAGTACCAATTTGGAATGTATTTTTTAATCCTCCCTAAAATACTTGATTATTGGGTAAATTTTTCCCACATCTAAAATCTTAAAGGATTCTGTAACGTGTGATTGCAAAACCATGAGGGAGTTTTCCATGTATACCACATCCTCTGACAAAAAAATTTCCAGAAAAAAAAAGTAACTTCTTTATACCTCTGGAAGAAAAGAAGGTCTTTTCCTACTAGTGAACTTCTGATTAATTTAGAAGTTTGTAGCAAAAGCATATGCTCTGAAAAGTTAACTGAAACCTGGCTAAGATCATATTAAAGATTAATTTTATTGACAGGTTAGCCTCTGACAAAGTTTGGGTGTTTTATACAGTCCTAAATGGAAATCACTACAATTTGGCATTAATAAGCAAGCCTGATTGAAACAGAAAAGTAAGGGTAATGAATTCAAAATTGTATTGTTTTTAGAAGTTATTTAAATGATGTTGTTTCCTTGATATTTTTAGTTAACAAGTTGAGCGCCTGATATTTTATTTCTTGACTGTCCATTACTGTTTTGACTAAAATGATTCCTCATGGAAATTGCATGATTTAATTTGTGATATACACAGTACCTGTGTATATCTCATGGTTTAAGAATCCTCTTCAAAAGGAATTTTTTATCCTTTATTTTGAGCTATATCATTTTTTCAAATCGGCTTCTCTCATCACAGTTTCAGATGACAGTGAACTCCCCACAAGTACCACCCTGAAGGCCTCTGAGAAGTCTACAATGGAACAGTTAGTGGAAAAAGCTTGTTTTAGAGACTATCAGCGTTTAGGTTTGGGAACCATAAGTGGCAGCTCTTCCCGCTCAAAACCAGAGTATTTTCGAATCACTGCGTCCAACAGGATGTATTCACTCTGCCGGAGGTGAGTCTATTAGTGGGCTCTAAGAAGAGACCTACTCTCCTTTCTTCCATTTGCATCTTGAATGGGCTATTTGTATCCATAGCCCAGAGATAGATAAAAATGCCAGAAAAGAGGAGCAAGTTTTCTAGGGATATGTGTGTTTAAGAGACACTTTTTATGCAGTGCAAGCAAACATCTCATTGGGGTTCTAAAAAGTACATCACTGAACAGTGCCTGTATAAATTTCCATTTGGCTAGCATACCAAATGCTAGCTTGATGTAAGAATAGGATTTGGCCAGGCAGATAGGAGAGTCTGGTATAGGCCAGGGGTCTGTAAACTTTTTCTGTAAAGGGCCAGATAGTAAATATTTTTTATTTTGCAGGCAGTAGGGTCTCTGTCATGACTATTCAACTCTGCTGCAAAAGCAGCAATAGACAGTAAGTAAACAAATGGACATGGCCAGATTTGGCTCACAGACTGTAATTTGCTGTCCCAGAGGTAGGCAGGGTTTTCATATGCTGTCTAATTAGAATATTTTCAAGAGAATATTATTTAAAGAATGTTCTTTTTTCTATTCTTATCTCTTATTGTTTTTCAAATCTATTAAGTCCTAGCCCATGCTTTATCATATGTAAATACATATATTTTTAAAACTGCGTTTCCACCATCCACAAGTTTAGTCAACCTCCAAGTAGGTTGTTTTCTTTACGTTTATAAATTCCTGCTTTGATTAAATAGAATAATGGCATGAAAGCATTTAGTAAATTGTAAGCCTTATACACATTTTTAGAAAGTTGTCGTAATGTTACTATTTGTTTCAACCCCTCTGTTCTTGAAGAACTGTAGATATTTCATTTTAAATGATGTTTTAAATTTAACATCATTGTGAAACTTGAGTAACAAGTTGGGAATGTAGTTTGAGAATGTAGCCAAATAAACATTTTGTATTAAATACTGAAAGAGGCTCTGTTGAATATGCAGTAGTTTTTCTGGGGTTCTCTGTCATTCTAACTAAATTCTCTTTGTAGATAAGTATAAATGGTGTTGTTGGGGAAACTTGCTATCAAAATCATGGCTGCCAGTAAGAGGACAGACCTCACTTATCATTTCAGTCTGGCAGAAGCACAAAATTTTAATAGACCCCTTAAAAGAATACTTGTTATAAAGCGTTTGTGGTGGTGTAAAATAATAATCTTCATGATAAACGGAGAAAATATTGAAGTTGTCAATGATTTCATTTTACTTGGATCCGCAGTCAACACCCACGGAAGCAGCAGTCAGGAAATCAAACAACATATTGCATTAGACAAATCTGCTGCAAAAGACCTCTTTAAAATGTTAAAAAGCAAAGATGTCAACTTGAGGACTAAGGTGAGCCTGACCCAAGGCATGGTATTTTCAGTTTCATCATACACATGCAAAAGCTGGACTATGAATAAGGAAGATTTATCGAAGAAGAATTGATGCCTTTGAATTATGGTGTTGGTGAAGAATATTGAGTATACCGTGGACTGCAAAAAGAACAAACAAATCTATCTTGGAAGAAGTACAGCCAGAGTGCTCCTTAGAAACAAGAATGGCGAGACTTTGTCTCACATACTTTGGACGTGTTATCAGGAGAGATCAGACCATGGAGAAAGACACCACGCTTGGTAAAATAGAGGGTCAGCAAAAAAGAGGAAGACCCTCAATGAGATGGATTGACACAGTGGCTGCAACAATGAGCTCAACATAGCAACGGTTGTGAGGATGGCACAGGACCAGGCAGTGTTTCATTCTGTTGTACATAAGGGTCACTATGAGTCTGAACCAACTCCGTGGCACCTAACAATAACAGCAACAATAAAATAATATATATCCATCAAGCTATTAGAAGGAAGGAGATGGAATAATAAAAAACAAACCAAAAGAAGGCAAGAAAGGAGAGGAAAGGGAATATAGAACAGATGGGACAGATAGCAAGTAGTAAGATGATAGATTTCAATTCAGATATATCAGTAATTATATTAATTGTAGATGGACTAAATGCTCCAAATGAAAGACAGAGATTATCAGAGTGTATTTTTTTTAAATCTTCATGCTGCTTTTAAGGGATATACATAAAATATGAGTATAAAAAGATTGAAAATTTGGAAAGCATGGCCCCCGGACTCTCTGTCAGCCCAGAACTAGAACAATTCCTGAAGCCAACTCTTCAAAGATTGGACTCGACTGTGCGACATAAAATGATACTTGTGAAGAATGTGCTTCTTAGCTCAAATAGATACATGAGACTAAATGGGCAGCTTCTGTCCGGAGGTGAGATGAGAAGGCAGAGAGGGTTAGGAGCTGGTTGAATGGACATGGGAAATCGGGTGGAAAGGAGGAGTGTGCTGTCACAGTATAGGGAGAGAGAGCAATTAGGATCACATAATGTATGCATAAATTTTTGTCTGAGAAACTAACTTGAAATGTAAACTTCCACTTAAACTACAACAGTAAACAAAAAATTAATTAATTAATTTTAAGATTGAAAGTAAAAGAATAGAAAAAATATACCATGCAAAACTACCTTAAAAATAAATGTTGTCCCTATATTACTATCAAAGTAGATTTGAAAGTGAAAAGCATTACTAGAGAAAATGAAGGACACTTCATAATGACAAAAGATTCATTTCACAAAAGATAATTCATTATGACCAAGTGAAGTTTATTAAAGGAATACAGAACTGACTTGACATTTGGAAATCAATCAACGTAATTCACCACATTAACAAAATAAGAAGAAAAATATATAATAAGTTCATTATATAAAAAACCATTTTATAAAATTCAACATATATTTATGATTTAAAAAAAAACTTTTAGCAAGTTACAAATAGAAAGGAAGCTTCTTGATCTAGTACTAGGTATCTAAAAAAATCCTACAGCAAAAAATACTTAATGGTAAAATATTGAAAGCTTTTCCTCTTAGATTAGGAGAAGAGAACGATGGCCACTACTACCACTTCTCTTCAGTGTTGTACTAGAGGTTTGTGATGGTTAAGATTGTGTGTCAACTTGGCTAGGCCATGATTCTCAGTGTTTTAGCAGTTGTATAATGTTGTGATCACTTCTCTGTTGAAATTTGATATGTGATCACCCCCATGATGGAATCTGCTGAGTGGTACCGGTGGAGGCAGGGCCTGTGGCAGCTCACCGCCCCCTCAGCTTCATCTCTCTACCCTCCACCGGTTGATTCCTACCTGCTTGCCTTGCCAAAGTTTTTGGCTTGTTCCAGACCCAGCAGCTGTCTCTTGTTGTCTCACCTCCTGTTCTTGGGACTTCAGCTAGCAGCTTACCTGTAGATCTTGGAATTCGTCGATCTTCACAGCCTGCGAGCAAGAGTCGTGTTCCCCAATCTGCTGATCTTGGGTTCGCCAGCCCCTGCAGCTATGTGAATCAGGAGAAACCTTGAAGTCTTGTCTGCTGATCTTGGAATTTGTCGACCTTCACAGCCTGTGAGCGGGAACCCTGCTCTCCAACCTGCCGACCTTGGTTTCGCCAGCTTCTGTGGCTGCGTGACTTGGGATAGGCCTCTTCCCTGATCCATGAACTTGGGACATTTTAGCCTCTACAATCGCGTGAGCTGTTTCCTTGATATAAATCTCTCTGTATATTTACACACTTTACTGGTTTTGCTTCTCTAGAGAACCCAGCCTAACACAATGTCCTAGGCAGGCTAGAAAAATAAATAATAAAAGATATAAAGATTGTAAAGGAAGAAATAAAACTGTCATTATTTGCAGATGACCTGATTGTATACATACAAAATCTCAAAGAGTCTACAGATAATCTTTTTAACTTAATAAGTAAATTTAGAAGGTCACTAGTACAAGGCATTAACAAAAATTAGTCAAATGTTCATAAACCAGAAACAAAATTTTTTTTTTTTAATGATATTATTTTGGTACTTGTCTTAGGCTGGGTTCTCTAGAGAGGCAAAACCAGTAAAGCATAAATCGAGAGAAAGAGAGAGATTTATATTAAGGAAATGGCTCACACGATTTTAGAGACTGGAGCATCCCAAGTCTGTGGATCAGGATAGAGGCCTCTCCTGATTCACATAGCTGCAGGGGCTAGCAAACCAACATTGGCAGGTCAGACAGCAGAGCTTTTGCTCATAGGCTGTGAAGATCAATGAATCCCAATGTTGGTAGGCAAAACAGCAGACAAGCTGCTAGCTCAGGTCCCAAGAACCAGAGGTCAGACAAACAGGTACCAGCTGCAAGATCCAGAGCTAACAAAAGCCCGTGAGCCTTGCCAGAAAGTCCACTTATATTCCATGCAGTCCACACCCTCAAGGAAACTTCCTTTCAACTGAACAGCCACTCACAGCAGATCCCATCATGGAGATGATTACATTATATCAAATCTCATCATGGAAATAATCATATCATCACAACGACTGCCAGACTACATCATAACTGCCAAGCCACTGAGAATCATGGCCCAGCCGAGCTGACACACAACCTTACCGATCGCAGTACTATAGTAGCACTAAAAAACATCAAATGTTCTTCTTGTTAGGTGCTTTTCAGTCAGTTCTGGCTCATAGCTACCCTATGTAGAACAGAACAAAACACCACCTACTCCTGCACCATCCCTCACAATGGTTGCTATGTTTGAGCCCATTGTTGCAGCCACTCTCTTTTTGAGGGTCCTCCTCTTTTTTTGCTGACCGTTTTACCAAGCATGATGTCCTTCTCCAGGGACTGGTCCCTCTTGAGAACATGTCCAAAGTACATGAGACAAAGTACGTGAGACAGGTTCTCTCCATCCTCACCTCTAAGGAGCACTCTGGCTGTACTTCTTTCAAGGCAGACTTGTTCATTCTTCTAGCAGTACAAAGTATATTCAGTATTCTTTGCCAACACCATAATCAATGGTATATGAGGCAATGGAAAATACCATGGCTTAGGTCAGCGCACCTTAGTCCTCAAAGTGACGTCTTTGCTTTTTAACACTCTAAAAAGGTCTTTTGCAGATTTGCCCAATGCA